CAGGGGTGGCAGCAGGAGATGAGTCTTCCGACCTGGTAAGTCACTGCTGGACATTCTCTCAGCTCTGTCTTTTGTCTGAGCAGAAGACATTCCCTAACAGTGGGAGGAAGGGCAGGTCAGAGCTAGACCAGCCCTGTGACAGTGCCAACTGAGCACCCTCCTTCCTGCAGAGCAATATTAGCCACCCTTTTTTGTCCCCTTTTGTAATGTGACATTCTTTTGGGGGCCATATACGCATAATTTGTAAAACTAGTGAGCTCAAAAGCAGTGATTGGGTGGACTTGACTTTTTCCGCAACTCTGGGAGTGCGTTCACTGTGATTGAGACCTCTTGCCTCACTGTCCCTTCTCTCCTTGTGCTGCCCCCTGTCCCAGATGGCAGGCCCAGAGCCCTGGTATTTATTGCTGTGTGGATATCGGCACTGTGAGCCTGGGAGTTCATCTCCACGGGGCAGATCTCTCCCTGGGTGGGTATGTGAGAGCAGAGGTCTGGCAGCAGGACCGGGACAAACAGGAGGGTTTTCCACCACAGACACGTCCCCACAGGGTCCACTGTACAGATGAGAGAGCCACGAGCAGGGGTTATACGACCCATCTGAGATCCATTTCTAGAAGCAGCACTGTTGGATTCAAAATCCATTCTGTCCTGCCTGCAGACCTCCCTGCAGAAGGACCTCTCTTGGTTAATGCTCTGCAATGTTGCCTTGAACTTGCTAACCATTTTTGAACGAGGCACCTGCATTTTCCTCTTGTCTCGAACCCCACAAATCTGGCCACCCTCAGCCCATCTGACCTACCATCTTTGCCCCAGGCACCACATCAGTCAGGTTTCTTGAAGACCTGACCTCTAACTACCCATCCTACGTCCCATCAGTACCTGCTCTCTGCCCATTCCTCCTCTGCTCCAGCCATTCGCCAGTTGTTTTTTGCTCTTAATTTGTTTGGACAGGTGGCTTCCGTGTTTGGGGTCCTGCATATTTGAACTAGTTAAGGTGCTATCATGATCAATACTTGAGTCGACCATATAAAGGATAAACCATAGACTACACACTTTTGCTCCCACCTAAGCAGCAGAATGCTTCAGGCCCAATTAATGCACTTAAGCTAATCTGTAAGCCTGCCACCCAGTCCAACTCCAGGGGCACCTGTACACCAGGAAGTGGGGAGTGGGTGGTGAAGAAAAGGGCCAGTATGAGACAGGCACCTACTGGACCTGGTGCTGCCCCTCCCCCGAAGCCTCCGGTCACACCCGCTGGTTTTCCTCTGGGACTGAGTTTTCTGGATGCCTGTTGACAGCGTGTAAGTGACTACCTCCTGTCTCACTCTTCCAGCCAGACCTCTGCTCATCAAAACCCTGCCATTAAAACAGAGAGCCCTAGCTCGTTTGGCTTCGTGGATAGAATGTCGGCCTGTGGACTAAAGCAGCGGTCGCCAACCTTTCAGACCTCACGGACCACGAGTGGTCCATGGACCACCGGTTGGCGACCCCTGGACTAAAAGTTCCAGTTTCAATTCCAGCCAAGGGCACATGCCTAGGCTGTGAGCTTGATCCCCCCAGTAGGGGCGGGCAGGAGGCAGCCGATCAATGATTCTCTCTCATCTTTGATGTTTCTGTCTCTATCCCTCTCCCTTCCTCTCTGAAATCAATAAAAATATAAAAAAACAAAAACAAACAAAAAAACCACCCTTCTCCCACCCTCCTTCAGTGAGTGCCCCCTGCACACACTCCTGAGCACATGAGGTTCAATGTCTGGAAGAATAAGCAACAGCCTCACATCCAAGTTGGGGAGGTGAGTAGTACCATAAGGATCAGTTTGGTGTCATCTCAGGGTGTGATACTGCCTTCTGTGCAGCGCACAGTTTAAGATGGAACAGTTGCATTTATTGTGGACCTTTTCACATGATTCCCAAAGTGGGTGTACCTGATGAACCCCAGGTACCCACCACTCAGCTTTCCCAGCTGCCAACGTTCCACCAGACAGATTTTTATGGGAAGAACCTCTCTTAGCTGCTTTGAAAAAAAATATATATATATGTGTATATATATATATAGAGAGAGAGAGAGATTTTTTTTTATTGATTTCAGAGAGGAAGAAAGAGGGAGAGAGAGAGAAACATCAGTGATGAGAGAGAATCGTTGATCGGCTGCCTCCTGCATACCCCCTTACTGGGGATCGAGCCCACAACCCGGGCATGTGCCTTTGACTGGAATTGAACACGGGACCTTCAGTCTGCAGGCCGACACACTATCCACTAAGCCAAACTGGTTAGAGCTCTCAGCTGCTTCTTTAGGGTGCTCTGGTACAAGTAGTGAGAAGAGCATGGGCCAGTCTCTGATGCAGCAGTGTGCCACCTTGGGCTGGGAATGTGGGCAGTGAAGGAGGCATTGTGGGGGTGTCCTTGCATAATGAGGGGAGGACTGGGCTGTCAATTCAGGAGCCAGAGCTCTTGAAATGCAAGGGGGAATATGAGGAGGTGTCCTTGCATAATGAGACAAAGGCTGGGCTATTAATCCAGGGTCCAGGACTCCTGTTATAGAGGGGCAAGTGTGAGGGGGTGTCCCTGCATAACAAGATGAGGACTGGACTGTCAATGCAGGATTCCTCAGGGCTGTTCCCAGTCTGACCTTTCTTGGCCGGGTCTGACATCTCTCTCCTCCGAAGGTCTTTGGAGAAGTAAAAGAGGCCATGGCCAGTAGGTCAGGAGAGCATCTGAATCATTGATAGTGACCAGGGCTTCTAAAGTTATACCTTCAGGACTGTGGGTAGAAACTGGCCTGGTCCTAAAAGGATTACTCTGAGACCTCAGAGGGCACAGTTGTCAACTTCTCTCTCCCTTTATTTTGGTTTTAAAACTGAGAAAGCACAAGTTCTCATCACAGAAGAGACCAAATTCCAGGCTCTTGTGCCTTTGCAGGCCTGTGTGCATATTTGGGCCAAGACAGTTAATGCAGTGAGGACTGTGGCTTGGTAATGGCTGGCAGCTGCATTACACCCTTGGCAGTTGTGAATTATGCTGCTGTGAACGCTCACATATGAATTTCTGTGTAGATGTATGTTCTCATCTTGTCCCCACCTTGTTTAAATGATACCAGTTTAATATTTATTGGTTGATTCTTAGTAAATGGGAGGATATTATTCTGAACATTAGAAGGATGGTTTTTTTTCTTGTGCCTTAAAAAATAAGGCCTTGCACGAGAGCAGCTGTAGTGTTGCTTTCTCCTCACTTTTGGTAACGAAATCCTCATTTTAAACATAAGAGGACACATTATTTTAAAAAGCCGTTACGTGTCTCCG